GTGCACATAGACTGCACATGGACCACAACTTTTTTTGCGATGGCGGCATAACTGTCGTTAAAAACACCATTAACCACACATTTTTTATTTATCACACACAAAAATGTGGTAAAAGTTTAGAGACGACAGTTTTTAACCGTGGCCAATGTTTTTACCACAGCTGTTGTGCCGACGCACGTAAAACTGTCGCAAAACTGTTGTAAAAACATAAGGAGGAACATTTACGACAGTTTTGCGTCAGTTTTACGTGCGTTGCCACAACAGCCGTGGTAAAAATATTGGCCATAGTTAAAAACTGTCGTCTCTGACCTTTTACCACAGTTTTGTATGTGGTAAATAAAAAAATGCGTGGTTAATGGTGTTTTTAACGACAGTTATGCAGCCATCACAAAAAAAATTGGTCTATGTGCGGTCTATGTGCACTTTTCTTGTAGTGAGGAGTAAGCATGTTTGAAATTTTAAAATAGAATTGCTATGTTTTTCTTCCTTATCTATGAGTAACATGGCAATGTCTACTGTCATCATGGAGTACTAGACATTAATATGACAATATTTACTGTAATTAGTCGCAGTATTTTGAATCATGAGTAACGAATCCTATTTCGAGAAGAAAAATATAGCAGTCTTACTTTGGAATTTCAAAACATTTTTACTCTTATGTAGGATATATAATTTCCCCATCACGAAACGGACTCTTAAGAGTTGTTTATTTTTTTCTATTAAGCCATGTCTGGATTAAGTAGTACTTGCATATGAAGCTGATTACTTTCTGTGCAGAATAGAAAGACTAAATTGAGTAAAATAATCAATTTAGTATTATTCTTGAGTTATAATACCAATAAGAAATATACCATTTATTAACATAAGTCTATCCCATAGTTGATTTTAAAAAATCAACAGAAAAGATGTCTTTAAAAGCTTCTTAGTGGAAAGGAGTACTACTTCCTCCGTCCCTAAAAATACTTCCAACTTTCCTTTTTGAGCGTACCAAAAAAACTTCCACTTTCTCTATTTGGTAAAGAATTTGTGGTTCACATCAATATAATTCTTATACATTTTTCTCTCCTCTGTACAACTCTCCATCACACAATACTCACTTTCTTAATCTCCGTGTCATTTGTACTATGAAACTTCTTTTAGGGACGGAGGTAGTACATTTCACCATAATGACCAAGTCATTTTTTTAATGGGTGATTAATTAATACCTTCAATGAAGTTGTAAACAAACATGATTTAGTGGCTGAAAATAAAGTCATTGTTTCATTAAGTCGAAAATAAAGTAATAAACACTACAAAAAAAGGCGGGATTGGCACGGAATTTGGCACGGACTTATCAATTTTTCGTGCTAAATAGCTCGTGCCAAAGTGTTTTTGGCACGGATTTGGCATATCCCTGCCAAAATCTGTGCCAATTCCGTGCCAAAATCCCTGTCAATCCCGTGTTTTTTTTGTAGTGAAATAAACAAGCTCTTAAACTTTCCCAAAATAACTCCTGTTTTTTAAACAAATACTCCCTTTATTTTTTTTGGGAAAACTGTCAAATAGGCCCACTTTGCAGGCCTATTAAGCCCACGAACTATAAAAAACGAGGCAAAACAGTCCTTGTAGCAGGTAATTAAGCGGTTAAAAAGAGATAAGGAAAAAAGGAAAGAAAGAGAAAAAGAGAAAAAGAAAATGTAAAAGCATGTCACATCATTTGCCATACATGCAACTTAAATGGGAACGGTTAATATCCTGCTAAAAGGATTGTTTTGCCTCGTTATATTTAGTTTGTGGGCTTAATTGGATATTTTTTGAGTTCGGGGGCTTAATTGACTTTTACGTATTAGTAGAGGGCCTATTTGACACTTTTCCCTTTTTTGAAGGACAAAAACTCCCTTTATTAAAAATTCAAATCACTACTATCTTCACTTTTTATTTCGTTGAACATCTTTTTGTTCGGTCAAACCGGCAAGTGCAAATTGGGTACAAACCGGCAACATTATTAATTTACAACGTTGTCACAACTTCATTTTTGCCTGTAACCTAATTATTTATTTTCCTCTGAGTTAAAGCGCGGTTTCCGGTCGGTGAGAAGGAGATGTCAAAGCATACACAGTGGGTCCCAGGGGCGGCCCACTTTGCAGGCCTATATATATATAGCAATTATGTGTATATATATAAATAAGCTCGAACTAACTAACTGCTCAAAGTCTCAAGCAGTCAAACACATCCTTAACTAATTCCTCAACTGCACCAACGTACGGTCGCTGTCGACCGGCCATGCCTTCTAATAGTAACTTCTTCCCGTCATCGGATTCTCACCGCCGGGAAAGCAGCCGGAAAACCAGCTTCCGGAAACGGTGTCTCTCCATGACGAAGCAGTACAAGACCAGGTTGTACATTCTTAGACGCTGCATCATCATGCTCCTCTGTTGGAAAAACTATTCCCTCTCCGATTGAATGATCCATTGATATAAATACATCAGCGTGTATATATATGTGTGTATACATATAGAGGAAGCGGTCTAGCATTCTCATACGGAAAGTCTCGGGTTCGAAGTTCTGTAGAGAGAGTTTCAGCCCTGTTTATCTTAAGTTGTTCGTCGACTCAATTTCATACGGAACGTCCGGGTTCGAAATTCTGTAAAGAGAGTTTCAGCTCTGTTTATCTCAGGCTTTCTCAGCCCCGGTCTAATATGTGTATACATGCATATATAGTGATATTACTAGTGAATGGTGATTCAATTCAAAAACTGTAAATATACTATATTGCACTAGCTCATGGATAATTAAACTCATGATATCTTGGAGGGAAAGGCGATCAATACAGTGTAATAATATATTGTTGATTTTATATAAGTGCTTTTTTTTTAACATATAAGGTAGAATATGAGGGTTGACTTCTTCTTTGCACATGTGAGTCGTCACTTTTCAAAGCAAAGATGGGCATGTGGAAGAAAAGAATATTTCTAACATACGTTTTACTTTTCGTTTCTGTTAAATCACAGCATATTGGCGCCAAAATTGATACTGTTTTTTAATGGATTCAATTTAGTTTGATTTAATCCCATTTAATAAGATTTGATGTGTGTGAATTAACTTCTAAATCCCACTACGCATTGAATTGAATATAGTTTAATTTGAGAAGGAAAGAATTCGACTAATAGCATCCTTAATACTCCTTCCTTCGCAATATTATCTTCATTTCTTCCTTTTTCAATTCGTTCGTCCCAATATAAACTATATTTCTCTATTGACAACATATGTCTCCACTTTGATCTCTCTCATCTGCACAATTTTTAGGCTACACATTTCTCAATTTCTTAATTTGTGTGCTAATTCAAAACAATAGTTAATATCGGGATAGAGGGAGTATCACGTGTGTGCAGGGTCAAACTCACAATTCAATCATTAAATACATTTTTCTCAAAATTGACATTTTGATGAACCAAGAATTTGAAATATACAAAGTATATAATAGCTTAGGTTGCTGTTAAGTCTTAATTAAAATGTTCCAAGAGATCATCAATGTTTTGGTATTAAATGATTGGAGAGCACAATCAACGATTAGAAGAAAACAAACAAACAAAGATGAGATGAGACAAAAGCTTGAGGTGTATGGAGCGCCAAGTCACGGTTGCCAAATTTCTATTGTTCACATTTTTGTGTGTGCGTGTGTTGGTTTTTGGAACCATCAATACCAGATCAGGAAATAGTCATGGATTTTAGTCATGGATTTTAGTCACGGATTTATCCATGACTAGTATATCACGGACTAGTCACGGATTAAAAAAAGGTAGTCACGGATTTGTCTGTGGCTACGTTCGTGACTAAGCTTTGTCACGGCTAACGTCCGTGACTAAAGTCCTCCGGTGACCCCAATTCCATTTCCGGTGGATTTTATTTTATTCCGGTACTTAGTCACGGACAAATCCGTGACTGCAAAAAAAATTAATTTTCAACGCTAAGAATTTATTTCGTACCGGCATTTGGTACGGATTAAATTAGTCACGGATGTGTCGGTGACTACGTCTGTGACTAAAAAAGAATAATATTATTCGCACGCGTAACTTGTACGGATCGGTTTAGTCACGGACAAATCCGTGACTAAGTCCGTGACTAAGTTTTTTATATATGCATGAACAATTCATTCAACAGAACCACATCTGATGGATAGTGTACCCGGGGGTAGCTTATCCGAAGGGTTATTGCGGGAATAACCTAGAGAGAAGTCAGAGCAAACAAGTAGGAGAGAGAGGTGATTATATTTATGAACTCGAGATGTTCTGGTCCTTTACAATGGGGAAAAATGCTGCTATTTATAGTAGCAATAAATGCGATGAGAGTACACTACACAAAAAATGGTTTGTAGAGGCAAGCCATAGTTGTCCCTATATATGAAGATGTTGCCTCTAATTACTTTTTGAGGCAATTTATTGGGTGCCTCTAAGGTGTCCCTAATTAATCTGTCCCTAAATGATGGTTGCTTCTAAATCTAGCTTTAGAGGCAACAAATTATTTGACTCTAATGATATGCATTTAGAGGCAACCATATAATCGTGTCCCAAAATATCATTTGAGGCAACCATGTCACCTTGTCTCTAAACACCATTTGAGGCAACCATGTCACCTTGTTCCAAAACATTATTTGAGGCAATCATAATATAGTCCCAAAATATTATTTGAAGCAAACCTATTATCCCGTCCTTAAACACCATTAGTGAGTCAGTGACAACCGAAAATATGATGTCTCAAAATATAATTAGAAATAATTATATTATGGTGACTCTAAATATCATTAGAGGCAACGTCATATAGCAATGCATATTCAAACACATTTTATTATTATATGGTTTTAGATGACTACAAAAGGATGCATTCAACAACAATCATATTATATTGTCTCAATTAATTTAAACATATTGTTACATGACTACTTAAATGAAGTTACACAAACTATAATAACAAAGCAAAAACTGCATTATTATGTAGCATAAATACAAAGCAAAGTTTAGTCATCCAACTATTACAAATAAGTAAATAACTAACTTCAAAAATTTATAATAAGTCAATAATATTCAATTTATTAATACATAGCTAAAGAAATGTATTGCCTACTAATCAAAAGTGAAGTCAAATATAACTACAAGCTAAGGACAAAATCATTTCAAATAATTCACTGATCTTCTCCATCCGATGACACTTCGTCATTCTCCTCGTCAACCTGGCACATAAAAAATTGTAAATAAATACTCTGTATTTCATAATTAAAAAAAACTCGAAATACTTCTTAATAAAGATTAAAGAAATTAATATGATGACACACCTCATTCGTTATTAAATCTGAGATATCATAACCCATGATGTCCAACAATTTTTCCATACAACCTTTCATATTTTTCATCTCGCCTTTGAAACGCTTCACTTCTTTGGTGAGCACTTTGTTTTTCTCATTGGCCTCATATGCTTCTTTCTTAGCCTCATTAGCTTCTTTCTTTGCTTCTTCTGCTTCTTTACGCAATTGTTCTCCTTCACTGAATGACCCATACATTGATGTAATGGAAGGACTTACTCCCATTCGACGATCACGTTGGCATTTTCCTCTGGGTTTAACTTTTTCATAAATTTCTTCATCCGTCAAATTATTTTTCCCTGCTGCACGTTGCTCTAAAAGCTCCTTCATTTTTTACTATAAAAATTAAAGGTTCAAACATGAGTATTAACACAATTACTACACTACATAATAACAAACTGAAAGTAGTGACAAAGTTTGTAGCAGACTGATATCAGTTTTACAACACACTAATTAAGAAGCAAAAATAAATCAATCAAGCTTGTGTGATTCGAATATCATATTTCAAAATACTCTGATTTTTACAAGTAACATATTTTAGTACATAAAACTAATATAAAAAATAAAAACAGATTGTAAATCTATAATACATAAAACTAATATAAACTGATTTTTTAAAACTAACATCTGAAATTATATGTCAGGCATATAAGAAGTATAAACAGTTTAGTTGGAGTACAAAGCAATGAATTGTTTAGAATTTGACTACATACCAAAGTATAACAGATAGTCCACTCGTATACTATATATATATATGTGATACTTTGGTATATGGTCAAATTTTGTATACTTTGGTATGTAGTCAAATTTTGTGATACATTAAGAGCTGACTATATGTGATACTTTGATATGTAGTGCTAATTACAATATACATCGGAAGGTACATACAGGAGCACAAAATAACAAACTCGAAGTACAAGGTCGTTAACGTTATATAAGACTTCTCAATATCTTACACATATCATATACAAGAGCTGAAATTAAAAATCAACAACAAAAAAATTGCATATAGTAATACTACTTTACTTACAATATTTTGCTTCGCAACATCATTCACTGGCGTCTTATCAATTTTGGTATGGGTTATCTCGTATGCTTCCAATATGTTCGGCATGACTTGCTCTTTTTCACACTAGTATGCAAAAACTTTAATAATTAGCCGTTAAATAGTTCAAAATATAAATGGAATGACTCGTAGGACACAAACTAGTACCACTTCATGAATAACTTGAGCAAAACTCTTTGTGCCAGCGGTGTGTCCAGCAGTTTGGCATGAGCGGTTCTTACTATTTCGTTTACTCATCTCCTGTTATATGAAAGCAAACAATATGGAAGTAAAAAATTAAAAAAGAGGGCAGCTAAGGCAAAACTAAAAAAGTATGTGCAAAACTTGCAAAAGTATCAAGTATCTACTTCATATGACAACTTGGAATAACCAGTCCTGTAATATCAGATTTAAAAAAAATAAACACAATTCTATTAAGCCAACACAATTAAAATATCAGATTTTCTTAACGATTTGCTACAGATTTAACAAGGAATGCTACCAAGTCCTAATGTTCACGCAAAAGCCAACCATGTACATAAATGAATAAATAATTTTACCTGAAACTTTGGAGATCCAAAATACTCCACAAGCCACTTCCATTCTTTTTTGTTAACACACGGTGGTTTATTTTCATCCTTTAACCGTTCCACATCTGTGTCTTCAGTATCGTAATAATTACTTTTTAGTCTTCCTCTATAACTTTTGTACTTCTTTTTCAAAGATTTCATCAAAGTCTTTTTTCTCTTTTCACTTAGCTTTTCATATTGCTCTTCATCTTCAACATCATCAAGCCCAATATCAAATTTTTCCTTGCAAAATTGAATAGCTCTTAGCAAAATTAAATAACTTAAATAAAACTAATGTACTATTTACATAGATTAAAATTATCAATACCAAAATAAGCCGCCACATCTTATCCTTTTTCTCATCGGATATTTGTGAAAACTCTTCAATCTGATAAAGTGGTGCATTGAGAGTATCTCTAACAATGGCACCACAATAGTTCGCTAGACTAGCTCTATTAACACCAATGGGTTCTCCCTTTATGTTAAAGTCTACTTTCTTCCTCTCACCGGGTCTCAGTTTTGCCAATTGTAGATTTCTCGTGGGACCTCTAGGAGTATTTGACTTGTAAACTTTCTTCTTCTTGATATTCGCAGCTTCAAAAGAAAACAACAATATTATTTCAGCTTATAATAGTATATGATACATAAAGCTTAGCATAATAAATATTTAAATGGACACATAGATTGAAATTTTAGGTTCTTATCCATTCTGTGAACTTAAGTTATCTTTTTCTTTTTAAGCATAAAAATCGAAGGATATATGTAACACCCCGGCCCCGTGGGACCCGAGGTAGTTACTCCGGACCAATAGTACTGTCCCCACAAATCACCACGAGCCTTTACCGCGCACTTTGTCCTCACTCATGCGCGCCCTGAGAAACTTCCCAGGGGGTCACCCATCCCAAGACTACTCCCGTGCAAGCACGCTTAACTTTGGAGTTCTTGGGGAATGAGCTCCCTTAAAAGGAGATGCACCTCTGTTGGTATGAGTAGTACATTAATCTGTTTATATTAAATCTCAAGTGTTACAATCACCCTCACTTAGGAACGCAACGTCCTCGTTGCGCCCATAAACCAATCTCAAATCTCAATCAAATCCCAGAATCTTCCCCCGCTAAGTGCCCGCCCGATTTCCAACGGGTCATCACACTGTCGCGGGGTTGCTCTGATACCACCTGTAACACCCCGGGCCCGCAGGACCTGAGGTAGTTACTCCGGACCAATAGTACTGTCCCCACAAACCACCACGAGCCTTTACCGCGCACTTTGTCCTCACTCATGCGCGCCCTGAGAAACTTCCCAGGGGGTCACCCATCCCAAGACTACTCTCGTGCGAGCACGCTTAACTTTAGAGTTCTTGAGTAATGAGCTCCCTTAAAAGGAGATGCACCTCTGTTGGTATGAGTAGTACTATTAATCCATTTATATTAAATCTCAAGTGTTACATTGCCCTAGCAGAAAAATCATTTATTGTATTAATCAATCAAATAATGCATAATAGATTTGTTGCTAGCTAACTAGTGTGAATATATGAGCGATGCGGGAGACTAGACAAGACAATAAATATGAACATAATTTGTACCCAGAACAGTGTCTCCTTCCACATTAGCATTTGCCTCATTGTTATAGCTTGTAGTCATTTTTAAGAGCACACCATCTTCTTGATCGTCTAAGCAAAAAAGGATAAAAACTCACAATAATGTTCACATAAACAGTACCCTATTAATAATGTACACATCGTATACCTCTTTCCATGTCAAAATCTTCACCATTTTCACTATAGTGCTCTTCATTCTCTAAACCGTAAATATCTGCATTGTAATTTTAAAATATAAAAAACCTAATTTTGATTATAGGTAAAATGTAAAACATGCTAAAAATTACTTGTGTACCTTCTCCAAAATCAATATCTTCATGACCAACCTCCATTTGTGGTTGACTACTGTTGGCTGGATTGTTAAATCTAATTTTTAACTTACCTGTATCTCAATAAAATGTATATAATATCATCATATAAATAAATAAATAATATAACCTTGTTTAGAAGCTTTCATGGCAGTTGATAGAGATTTTAATGCTGCATTTCCAACTAATGTTGATTGTTTTCTGTTCATTCCATATAACTTGGCAACAGACGATGGTGGAATGAAGTTACGTTGTCTTCCAACCCCTTTTTGGTGCGTGCTTTTTCTCTGCAACGGCATCAAGCAAATAGAAAGTGATAAACATGCTGCGAATAACCGCATACTAATCAATATTAGAAAAATGTAAAACCGAATCATCAGACCCATAATCGATAGTTGAAAAATGAACACTACCTTTTTTGTAACTGAAATATGACCTTCGCTCTCAGAGTCTTCCGCACTATCATTATCACTAGGCACATAATCATCACCATCTTCACTGCCTTTGTATTTGTGTTTACTTTTCTTATCCTTGCCACTGTCTACCAAGTTTGACATTGAAGCAACAATGCGCTTTATTCCCAACGACTTAAATTTCAGATTGTTCGCTTCAATCGTCCTTATTCTTTGTTGTTCATACTCACTACGTGGTACTTCAACTCGTTTTGGACATGTCTTTCCTCCCTTTTTTGACATGTTAAATCTAATCCAAAATAAATTTAGCTATAACCAGAAAATCACAATTACAAAGAATCAAATAATACTAATTATTTCTAGAAAGGTCCATAAAGATTACTATTAAATGAATAAACATGAAGGAATTGATATATAAAAGTGAGTGAAACAAAGTAGAGCATGAACTAAAAGAAATTGAAAAAAACTACAAAAGGTTTATGTCAAAACACAACTAGATGTCTTAATATTTTCTACAAAACGGCAAAGATGGTTATGGATATGTATCATCCTTTCCGTCAAGAACACTTTGCTGCTCAGGAACATCATAAAAGTTTCTTGGTGTTGCTGTAACCACCACCTTCCAGTTAGGCTTTAGAACATCGTCAACATAGAATACTTGTTGTGCTTGAGAAGCTAAAACATAGGGATCACTAGTCAAAACTTTGGTTGTATTGACACTAGTGAATCCGAAACGGTCAGTAATAAACCCTCGACCATGACTATGAACATCCCACCAGTCACATTTGAAAAGTGTGACACGATTTTGTCCAATATATTGTACTTCTACAATTTCTCGCAAGACTCCATAATATGGGAGAACTGACGCTCCGCTTTCACCCTTCACAACGACCCCACTGTTTTGTGTTTCCCTCCCCCTATCAAAATCCAGTGTTCGAAACATGCAACCATTAACCATGTATCCATTGACCGAAACGACTGCACGATTCGGACCATGTGCTAAAGCCAGTAAATGTTTTGTAACACTAGGATGTTTCTCCTGGAACAATTTTGTCCCCTATTCATACATAAATTATATTAGTTTTAAACCCTAATATTGATTACAAAGAGAAACCAAACACAATTAGTTTTGTATGGATCCTTACTCGGTCCCTAAACCACTCAATACACTTTCTTTTTCGAACGGCAGTGATCCTTGTTCTATTTGTACCTTCCCAATCATATTCACTGCAATAAATACCTCAGTACAATTAATAAATCAATAATTATCTACGACGAAATTAGAAACATAACCGTAAAATCTCACTCGATTATAGGTTGTGCTTCTCCACAGTTGTTCAACACAAAAAAATGAATTTCTTCCAATTCATTTGTAGAAAGTAGTTTGGGAGTCGCCTTCCCCAGTGGTCTGCCTCTTGTCGCAAAAATAGGCAAATGATCTGTTGAACACAAATCACCACCATCTCTAATCCTATCTTGCTTGGTGAATTGTGTTTCTATATCCTCCATATATCTTGAACAAAACGTTAAGCACTCCTCTAATAAATATCCTTCCGATATTGAGCCCTCGGGGTGACCTTTATTGCGTACATACCCTTTAAGTTTACAAAGATACCTACAAAAATTGTTAACATATTTGTCAATTATTTTTATTACTTAATTAAAAACATCAATGGATTGAACTTTTTATTACCTCTCAACGGGGTACATCCAGCGATAATAAACCACTCCGGCAATCAACGCTTCACTTGCTAGGTGAATGGGTAAGTGTACCATAATAACGAAAAAAGAGGGTGGAAAGATTTGTTCTAGCTCACACAAGGTAATGACTATCTGGTTCTGTAGTTCTTGCAGCATATCAACTTTTAATGTCTTAGAGCACAACTATGTGAAAAAGGTGCTCAACTGGATAAGTGGCTTAGAAAGAGTTTCGGGCCAACCACGCACTGCAAGAGGTAACAAATGCTTCATGATAATATGGTAATCATGGCTCTTCAATCCAGATAATTTGCGATCCTTTAATAAAGCATTTTGTGAAATGTTTGAGGCATAACCATCGAGAAACTTCACACTTGTCAGAAACTTGCAAAAATCTCGTTTTTGTTCTGAGGATAGAGTATGAGGAGCTGGGGGCATCTCTATAGTTCCATTTTCATGCCTTTTCAAGTGCAACGACTTCCTTATATTCATTATCTCTAAATCAAGACGTGCATTCAAATTATCCTTACTTTTCCCTTCAATATCAAGCAATGTTCCGAGCAAAGTTTCACACACATTTTTTTCAATGTGCATAACATCGAGATTGTGACGTATCAAAAGAGTACTCCAATATGGCAATTCAAAGAAAATGCTCTTTTTTCGCCACAATGGTTTTCGCTTTCTCTTCTTGCTAGTACTCATAGATGTGCCTGACGTTACTCCTTCAGCACTAACTAACTGGTCTACAACCTCATTACCCGACAAAACATTAGGTGGAGGCCTCAACTCTTCCTTGCCATCAAAGTTTGTTCGATCATATCTCCATTTGTGGCGACTTGGTAAAAATCTGCGATGGCCCATGTAACAGTGTTTAGATCCTTTTCTCAATCTGTAAGAACAAGTATTGTTGTTACATGAAGGACAAGCAAACGCTCCAGCGGTTCTCCATCCAGAAAGATCACCATATGCCGGAAAGTCACTTATTGTCCATATCAAAGAAGCAAACATTCTAAAATTCTTTTTCTTTGAGGCATCATAAGTTTCCACCCCAACTTCCCAAAGAAACTTCAATTCCTCTATTAAAGGTTGCAAATATACATCCACTTTATCCTTTGGCCCTTTAGGACCGGGAACAAGTGTGGAGAGAATTAAAGAATGTTGTTTCATGCAAAGCCATGGAGGTAAGTTATAAGGGATAAGAATCACTGGCCATGTACTGTGTGTTAC